GATTATACCGTGCATTTAAAGAGATTTTACATAATAGGTGCATTTATAGAGGGTGCACTTAGAGAGGTCTCTCTGTACTAACTTTAATATAAAAAAATTTGTTAAAATTTTTATATACAAAACTTAAGAAATTTTAAAAAACGAAAACATATAATAAGTGCAAAACGCCATAGGCGCGTTTTATAATAATTGAATAACGAAAATTTTATCATTAAAATTTTGCAATTTAGAATTTAGCTAAATTAATAAATTAAAATACGTAGAAGTTATTAAAGTTACGTATTTTATAAAGTTTGGCTTTACTACAATCACAAGATTTCTTTCATTTTATTTCATTTTTAATTATTCTTTGGGCAGCAACTGTTGCTTTTCGTTAGCAACTCGAATAGTTTAAAAAATTGGGTACAATGTTAAAACAAAGGTAAAAAAAACAAGTATATAATCAAAAAGAAATATAAAAATTCCGGATGAAATCTGAGCAATAAACGAGAAAAAAATAGTATAGAAATATAAATCAGAACCGGGAAATAAAGTAGTTTAATATAGTTTTAAGATTATACTATTTATATATCAATTGCAAGTTACGGAATTGAATTTGCTTTACTAAAGCAGAAATTATAAAAATTTATATGGATATTATATTAAAATTACTATGATAAATTTTGGGTATTATTATTGCCACCCTATTCTTGTTATTACCACCCCTTTCTAATCCTCAATCTAATTTAGAGTTAGCGTTAGAATTAAAGACTAGCTAGAAGGTAGCAATAACAAAAAAAAAAATAAGGATAGCTATAACAATTTTCTAAACTTTTTTTAACAGATTAGACACAATAATACTATTCCTGATAGATCGGCAATACCGATCTTGATGGAGTTAATAAAAATTTTATTTGAGTACTGATTCTAATGGGATTCTAAAAACGAACCCTAATCCTAACTTTTTTTTCGTATACTCGCTATAGTACGTAGTATAACATTTTAGAGGCCCTTTTTTAGAATCCTATTAGACACGGTATGTAAATCGATTTGTTTTCCCTACCCTGTTAGTAGAGCGGTATTTTGCTGTAACGATAATAAAGAAATAAGTCCTTTATTTTAGCCAATCAGAATATTTTAAATTAACCAATCGGAACAAACTTTAAGGGTGCTTTTCGTGAATTTTTTTTTATGCGATTTAATTAAATGTTTTTTATTATACTAAAATCAAATAGACGCGTTTGTTTTGAACACATCACGTTAATCATGTGAGCGTAATGCATATTTTTGTTACACTAAATAAAAATACGGTATATAGACGCGATTGTTGATTATTTTGAACGCATCATGGCGATCAATCATGTGATTAATCAAATTAAATTTTTTATATAAGTTTGAAAATTTTCTTCTTTTTAGCGTTAGCTTTTTTGAATTATTTGCTTGAGGATTACTGTTTCCGAAAGGAGGTTACGGTTATATACCTTTTTTAAGCAGTCAAAAAAGCTAAGCGGCGAGCGTCGTGAGTTGAAACACCCTTATAGAGTCAGAACACCCTTATAGAGTCGGAACACCCTTATAGAGTCGGAACACCCTTATAGAGTTGAAACACCCTTATAGAGTTGAAACACCCAATTATTATTTTTTTTTTTGTGTTTTTTTAAAGTGGACACGTTTTGTTAAAAACCTAACCTAAAAATTAATATTTGATAAAATTTTTAGTTTACTCGAGTTTTGAAGATAAAATTTTACTTTTTTGTTCGAGGCCTGAAAGTTTTATAGAAGTTTGGAAATCGTACGATAATTATGGCGTGATTTGAAGTAAAGGTGAGCTGAATATTTGAACCTTTTTTTATTAGTTTGTTAAAAGTTATTTAAAGGACGTAACTTGGTTAAGGTTGGTTACGACACTTATGTGCGAGGTAGGGGCACATAAGAAAACTAACCTAAGATAATTTTTTTCTTATTATAATATCCTAGATATTGATTAGATTACCATAGTTACGCTGCAAATATAGTATATTCATTCCTCGTTAATATCAACCTTTCACTAAAAAAAAAGGCTTAGACTATATAAAAACTATCCCGTTGTTATCAACCTTCGTATATTTTAACATAATTGCTTAATCCAAATTGGCTATATAACCACCAAAGTCAGTCACGTACGTTGTTCCGAAAAATATTGATTTATATATAACGATTTCTATAATTTATTTTGATACTTGCTTTAATTATTAATTTGAAAAAAAAGAATTTTTTTTTATGTATCTAAATACCAAAACGTTGTTTTGCTATATATCAAAAAATAACCAATTTATTTGAAGCTATAAAAGGACCAGTATTAAACGCTTAAATCGGGTAAATGAGAGCAAGAATCGAAAGCGTATAAAGCAAAACGAGCAAATTAATAGTGAAATATAAGAAAATTGTGTAGATTCTGGGAGTGATAATTTTAAAAAATAATGAAGTCTTACTACACGTATTATCAAAAACAAAAAAAAATTTTAATATCTAATAAGCGATGTCCTTCTGGAAAAAGTGAACCTTTTATTTTTACAAAAGGTATATTTACTGTATTTAACGTTTTATAGTGAATTTAGTCATTGAAGTCGTCGCTTTGGTTTTTTCATATTACTAATTTTTTTCCAGGTGCGATTTCGTCGTTGGAATCATCAATGTTAGAACTGCTGAAGTCATTGCTTTCATTGTGGTTGTGATGTTTGTTGGTTTTTCCGTCTGGACGATTCGAAGCTCATTACTTCGTGCACTTGTATTATAGCTTTTTTTTTTCTTTTGAGTGGTAATACGATTTTATCATTCATTACAATTGCGTTTATTTTTGCTCATGACTCAACATTTTACCTATGAAATAACCTTCTGCGCACTAATAAAAAGGTTTCCTTGCGAAATTTTGGTAATACTAAAGCTCTTTCTAATCTAGCTTAATAGCAAAACCTAATTCTAATCTGATAGCAAAATTTTTTTAGTGAAATTTTTTAGGTTAGTGACGCTAGATCAGTTTGTTAAAACATAATTATTTTGAGAAAGGTCTTGTGATAATAACGGTGATGGTGGTCTACCAAGTTTGTCATTCTTTTCGTTATCAGGTCGTTGAGGGCAGGACAAGACAATCAGAATCGGAGAAGACTTGAAAGTGGTGAATGGGTAAGCAATCAATTATCATTTCAGATTTCGAGATGTCAGTTGGACATTTCTTCATCGGGACTGCTTACCACCTGACTATTCCTCCTTTGTCATTATTCAAAGACAAAAGTAGGTAATATCTGGTAAGGCGGTAAGTTCCATCTTATTTCTTGTATTTAACAATTAAAAGAATTCATTCGTAATAAGTCAATGTCATCATAAGATGTAATTTACGTGCTAAAGAAAAAGATAATAAAGACTTACTCCTAAAAATGAATCTTCCACGCTTGGATCTAATTTCCAATTTACATTATATCTCCTCAAGATATCTATTCACAAAATAAGGATCTACCGTATTGAACATGAGCTTTTATATAAGCTAACGAACATCGAACAGATAACTTAAGTCAAAACATTAATCTCTATGATAGTAAACAAATAAACATTGATACATGCCTTTTCATTCACATAATATGCTTATTTTCGATCGCATTTAATGCGAATTTCTTTCCAAATTTTGCAATCAATTGATCTCGAACCTAAAAAAAATCCAACCTAAATTAAAATTAGTCATTAAGTACTTGCAAAAAAAAAAGTTCGGTTTATTACTCACCAAACTTAATTCCTTAATCTTTGATCTGGGTGCCACGTAGATTGAAGTATTCACTGTCTCACTTATAGAAGGTTCGCAAATGTCTAGTTTATAGTATAACGAAACTTTATATAACACTTAGATATGAACTCTTATATCGGAACACATTACGTAGGCCGAATGTATATTATATATATATATATATATATTCGTTATATTGAAAAGTATTATTGCAAATTGAATGTTTATAAAATTATGTATAAAATTTGTTATACCGAAATATGCTTCGTTATATCGAGGTGTCGCTAAAAGAAAGCATACACATTTTTGTGCAACAGAATGCGGGTTTTGAAAAAATCTGAATAATATATAACTGATTATTCTAGATGTTTCGATTATACATTTTTGAACGCAACAACCGACAAATAATTTATATTTCTAACGGATTTGTCATACCGAAATGACTAGAGAAATCATCGAACATTTTTTTTGATCACATCTATCATAAAAATAATTTTTGAAAGCCCGCATTCT